TTTTTCTTTTAATTATGAGTGTAAGATATATTTTTTTTTTTTTTTTTTTTGATACCGGGCATTGAACTTGGGCTCTTGGAGGTACTTGGGAGGCAGGCAGGGGAACTAATGAGCTAGTCCCCAGCCCAAAATATGAATTTTTATTGTTAACCATTTTAGAGTTTCTACAGTCTCTGCTAAGTTTTTTACTTAGTAATTTGTCTTTTGGGAGAGGCTTATAATTCTTTGTATATACTATAACTATGGAGCAGAAGGTTTTGTTTAATTTAAAGTTCACATTTAACCTTCATTTACTAAGCATGGAAATGCCTAAAAATTCTCCTTTGCTTATTTTCTTTGTCATTGTAACATGTTAGTTCATGTAGTTCAGTAGGACTTGATTACAGAGGATTTTTCTCAGAGCAGCAGTTGCTGCCAGGGGGTATGGAGAGGTTTTATTTTTTCCCATGTTTTCACTGGGCCTTTGGGCATGGTGTGGTGTGGAGCCCACCGTTTCCAAAGCTAAGCTGCCAGCCATGAGGTGGTAGTCGTCCTCCCAGAGTTTCTCTTGGCTCTTTTTTACAAAGTCCCCCAACAAATAGGGATCTTGCTGGGAAAAGAAGTTTGGTTAAGGAAATGCCAAATCTGGTTTTTAAATAAGGTCACACCCTGCAGTGAGGTGGCCATCCGAGCCAGAGATCATAAGAACTGGACACAGGCCAGAGTGGCACACTTGTAGTGGCCTTGGTGTTCTGTCATGCCACTCCCACTATCTGGTCCTGGTCACTGTCCTTAGATGGACTGAGCCATGTGTAGTAAGAACATAGATCCTAAAGGATTCCCTAAGAAGCTGTATTTCTTGAATTAGAATTCTGAAATTGTACATCTATAAATATATTTTTATTATCTGAAAAAATACTTGATTACACAATCAATGATGGTTAAAGACATTTTAGAAAATGCCAGGGAATAAAAATATGTACGAAGAAGGCTGGAAATGTAGCTCAGCAGTGCAGTGTCTGCCTGGCAGACATGCGTCCCTGAGTTCAATTCTGGGTACAAAAAAACCCCATATGTGTGTGTGTGTGTGTGTATGAAGAAAATATCAACTGATCTCACTAAGAGACAGAAACTTACATCTTATATTTTAAAATTCATTATCTCTAGTAAATGGTGCTAGGAAAATTGGGTAGCCACATGCAGAAGATTAAGTCTAGACCCATATATCGCTATGTGCTAAACTGAAATCAAAATTGATCAGAGATCTAAATGTTAAACAATCTGCTGGAAGATAAAATACGTACAATTAAGTAAAGTAGATAAAATAGGTAAGACACAGGCTAGGTAAGCACTTTCTGAACAGAACCCCAGTAACACAAGAAATAATACTGAGAATCAACAAATGGGATCATATCAAATTAATAAGCTTCTGCACATAGGGTCAGGATGTAGTTCAGTGGTACCACACCTGCTTTGAAAGCGTGTGGTCCTGAATTTGATCCCAGTACCAAAAAAAGCTTCTGAACTGCAAAGGAACAAACAGCCTATCGAATGAAGAGACAACCTACAGAATGGGGAAAAAATTTTTGCCGGCTATTCCTGAGAGGACTAACATCTAAATTGCAGAATCTGTCCCCCGCAATATATATAGATATTTTTTTTTCAGTAGTCTACTATGGTAATAAATATCTGGAAGCTAATGGCCTCTACTTGGAGTGCCTCTTGTAATTGTAGAAGCCAAATCTCATGATGTCTCAGTAAATTTAGTATAAAAATATTTACACAAGTTTTTCTTTTCCTGATACATACGTTTTTCGGGGGGCAGACTGTATATAAAGCAGTAGCTGGGTGTGGTGGCGCACACCTGTAATCCTAGTTTTTGGGAGGCTGAGGCCGAAAGAGCACTGAAAGTTTAAGGTCAGCCTGGGCTACATAGTGAGTTCAAGACTAACCTTAACTACATGGCAAGACCCTGTCTCACACACACAAATATATACATGGAACTCAAAAAATTAGACCTTCCCGCCAAATAAAAGACCCAGTCAAGAAACAGACAACCAAATGAATAGATACTTCTCAGAAGAAGTACAAATGGCCAATAAATACATTTAAAATGTTAAGCATCACTGGCATTTAGAGAAAATCAAATTAAAACAGCATTGAGATACCATCTTACTTCAGAAAGAATGGATTTTTTTTTTTTTCTGGTGTTTTGAGACAGGATCTTGCTATGTAGTGAGACTGACCTGGAACTGTGTAGCTCAAGCTGGTTTTGAACTCACAGCTATCCTCCTGCCTCAGCCTCCTGAGTGCTGGGATTACAGGTGTGCGCCACCACACCCAGCCTAAGAATGGATATTATTAAAAAAAAGTGTGAGAATATGGGAAAAAGGGGCTATTCTGTGTTGTTGGTGGGAGTCTAAACTAGTATACCCACTATGGAAATCAGTGGGAAGATTCCTCAAAAAACTAAAAATAGAAATTCTATTTGACCCAACTCTTCCCTTTCTAGGTATCTTCCTAAAGAGTTAAAGTCAATATAGTGTATACCTATGTTGATAGGATAATTCATAACTAAATCTTGGAAATGGCCTCTATGCCCATCAGAAGATGAATGGATGAAGAAAATGTATTTCTACATAATGAACTGCTCTGCCATAAAGAAAGATAAACTTGAGACATTCATAGGTAAATGGATACAACCTAAGATTAATATTAAGTGGAATAAGACACAATTTTAAATGTGGTTTCTCCTTTATGATAAATTAAATACATACATATATATATATAGAGAGAGAGAGAGAGTGAATGAGGAAAATAGAAGATAGGAAGTAGGGAGACCTTTTTCAAATGGATGGGGAAATGAGATGAAGGGAGGGGAGGAAAGGGGATAGAAAAACAAAGAACAGGAAAAAAATGAAAGTAGAGCTTTTGCAGATAGGAAGGGGACCAAGAGTTGGAAGGAACAGGGAGGGCACAAAGAAAATGTGTTAAGTACATGTGCCAGCTCCCCTTGATAAATTAGTCATTATGTAATACAAACGTACTAGTAATATAAACAACAAAACTGTCAACCAATATAGTAAGATATACATTTTATAATGCATCTTGGATATGTGTATATAGATACATAGTGAAATATAAATAACCTTATAAAATTTATAAATGTAGTTAGATCATAATGCGATGTTTTGCATATTCTTTGCTAAATTATAATTATTCTCCCATCATTAAAGAATTTATAAACATGAGAATGACAATGTCATTAATATGAATGTGCCATTGTTTATTGTTCCTCTTATTTATCTCATTTCTAAATTTTTGTCTTTTACAAAGCTTGTGTGAACATTTTAGTGTACAATTATTTTATATATTTTTTAATATTGGATAAAATTTCAGTGAAAAGTGTTTAAAGTGGTTATAATAATGCATATATTCTAGGAAGTATTCAAAAAGGTTTTGGTAAATGCAACTTGCTTTTATTATGGTACATGTCCAGCAGGTTTTTCCTTTTTTTTTTTTTTTTTTTTTTTTTTTGATAGTGTCTCACTATATAGTTTAGAGTGGTCTTGAACTTGCAATAATCCTCCTGCCTCAGCCTCCCATTCTTACTCCCTCAGCTTCCTGAGTGCTGGGATTATAGACGTGTGCCATCATGCCCAGCTTCCTTTTTCTTTTAAAAGACTCTTTGAGTATAATCTCCCACCCCACCCCCACTCCTGTACAAGATCAAACCCAGGACCTTGCACTTGCCAGGCAGGTGTGGCACCACTGAGCTACATCTCCAGTCCTGACTATAATTTATACAGAGTAATGAATATGCATTTTAAATGAACTATTCTCGTATTTTTTTAAGTTTTTTGCAGTGTGCTGAGGATTAAAGGGCCTCACACAAATTTAGTAAGTGTTCTGTTACTTAGCTGCATTCCCAGTCCACAGTAGCTAATTTATTTGACCAGTCTTCTAACTACCAACACAATCCAGATAGAAAATATTTTCATCACCTCGAATATTTCTCTTTTGCCAAATAGTCCTTTCCTCTCATTCAAAGACCCTTGTAATCACTGGTGTACCTAATGTCTATATAAATTTGCCTTTTTCATGTAAATAGAATCCAAAGTATGTAACATTTTCAGACTGCTTTCTTTGACTCAGCATAATGTCGTTGAGATTCATCTAAATTGTTGAATATATTAGTAGTTAATTTCCTTTTATTACTGAGTAGAATTCTTTGTATATCAATTTATCTATTGGTTCATTGGAAAATGTTTATCTCCCCACCCACAATTATAAATAGAGTAATTATAAACATTCTTATACAAATTTTATGTGAAAATAATTTTTATTTACCTAGGGCAGTAATGGTGAACCTTTTAGAGCTTTCAATGATAAA